TCCTCCCACAACGTTTATTTTGCTTCCCCTAGCGACCGGAAATAGAAATTTCAACATTTTTTTGATAATTATTGATCTTCAGACTCCAGAGAACATTTCTGCACTGGTTTGGTTCCGATCGGGCAAAAAACCAGGGACTAGTTCGCAAAAGTAGTTTTTCGACAAAATTCAAAATGGCGGAAAAATTTCCATACCCGAAATGAAATCGGAGATATACGTTTTTTTCGTCAGGTGACCAGCTTTCCAATGATATAAGACACTTGAGTGTACGACTTACGGTCTAGGAGTTATGAGCCGTTTCGCGCAATTGGTCGCTATAGCGCCACCTATGGGCCAATCGGGCTCATAATTTGATAACCTCTCCTCGATTTTTGTACTACCATCTGACAAAGTTTCAGAGCTCCAGCCCTTACGGTTTGGGCTGCACGATGCGTTTTAGGGGAGAATAATAATAATAATTAAAGCTGCAAGCAGCATTTATCGGTGTTCAAGCAGTTTAGGCCTTTAAGGCCTTAAAGCACAAAAGCATCAAAAGGCATTAAATTTTATTAAACATACATTTATCCAGTGACATAATAGATGGAAAACACCATTTACAGCCAATACAGGCAATTAACCATTGCAAATACATGGTTTTAATGCTTTTTAACAGATATAGCACCATCTATGGTCTGATCTACATGAAACTGTGCATGCTTCTTTTACATGTTATGACACATATGCTCATCATTTTTTTTTTGAAGTTGTGAGTTTTGCTTTAGGATTTATATACTTTTGGGTGCATTTTGTCACCTACATCTTGGATACCCTTGGGGTAAGCTAAAACATACGAAAAATTAATTTCAAAGTGAACTATCCCTTTATCTCCATTATGCTTGCTTACACCAGCAGGGTGCATTACTGTATCTCCTCATTGGCCTTCCTAAAAATACCATAAGACAGTTGCAGCTCATACAGAACGCCGCTGCCAGGAGTCTGAGCAGGACCAGAAAATATGAGCAGATCACACCAGTCCTCAGGTCTTTACACTGGCTCCCAGTTACATTTAGGATTGATTTCAAAGTATTATTACTGGTATATAAATCATTTAATGGGTTAGGACCTCAATATATTACAGATATGCTCACTGAATATAAACCTAACAGATCACTCAGATCATTAGAATCACATGAGCTAGATGTGACAGTTGTCAAAGTAAATGTGACAGTTGTCATAGTAATTTTGGTAAATGGACAGCATTTATATAGCACATTCATAGACCTAATGGTCACCAAAGCACTTTACATATTGCCTCACATTCACCCATTCACACACTGACGGCGGTGTCAGCCATACATGGCACCATTCAGCTCGTCGGGAGCAGCTGGGGTTAGGTGTCTTGCTCATGGACACCTCGACACTTGGTCAGGCTGAACCGGGGATCGAACCACCAACCTTTCGGTTTGTAGACAACCTACATGAACCACTGAGCCACTGCCGCCCCTACCCTTTTTGACTAAATTATTGTGATTATGTGATTATTGTTAAACTAGTGAATTATAGTTGAGTAGTCATGACAAATGACAATTTTGAACAGCAGGGGGCAGTAAAACTCCACTTATTAGCTTAATAGACCATCATGTTGATATCATTTTCACCTTTTTAACTGTTATATAGGCATATTTTGTCCGATCTGTCTGAAAATGTTCGTGATGTTTCAATGTCACGTGTTCTAACTTGTTTTTAAGATCTGAGCATTAATTTCAAGGCTACATGTTGAAGCCATCGATTATAGGCATTCACATGAAGTAGTTCAACTTTTTCTTATAATAATTGATCAAGAGAGTTCAGAAAATTGTACTGCACTGGCTAACATTATAGGGATAGGTGTCTTGCTCATAGACACCTCGACACTTGGTCAGGTGGAACCGGGGATCGAACCACCAACCTTTTGGTTTGTAGACAACCTACATGAACCACTGAGCCACTGCCGCCCCTACCCTTTTGACTAAATTATTGTGATTATGTGATTATTGTTAAACTAGTGAATTGATAAAGTCATAATATGAATTATAGTTGAGTAGTCATGACAAATGACAATTTTGAACAGCAGGGGGCAGTAAAACTCCACTTATTGGCTTAATAGACCATCATGTTGATATCATGTTCACCTTTTTAACTGTTGTATAGGCATATTTTGTCCGATCTGTCTGAAAATGTTCATGATGTTTTAATGTCACGTGTTCTAACTTGTGTTTAACATCTGAGCATTCATTTCAAGGCTACATGTTGAAGCCATCGATTATAGGCATTCACATGAAGTAGTTCAACTTTTTCTTATAATAATTGATCAAGAGAGTTCAGAGAATTGTACTGCACTGGCTAACATTATAGGGTTAGGTGTCTTGCTCACAGACACCTCGACACTTGGTCAGGCGGAACCGGGGATCGAACCACCAACCTTTCGGTTTGTAGACAACCTACATGAACCACTGAGCCACTGCCACCCCTACCCTTTTGGACTAAATTATTGTGATTATGTGATTATTGTTAAACTATTGAATTGATAAAGACATAATATGAATTATATATTATGTCTACGGTTCGATCTCCATGAAACTTTGCATGCTTCTTCAGCATGTTATGTCACATATGCTCATCAATTTTTGTGAAGTTCTGAGTTTTCCTTTAGGATTTATAGGCTTTTTGGTTCATTATGCCACACCCCTTTTCAAAATAACCCTTTTAATACCATGCAAAAAATTTAAAAGTTCAACTTTTTTTCAATAATTATTTATCTAGAGACTCCAGAGATTTGTCCTAGACTGGTTTGGTTTTGATCAGACAAAAAACAGGGACTAGTTCGCAAAAGTAGGTTTTCAACATATTTGTGAATATTTAATGAACGATTCAATTGACAGCAATGGTTCTAGAGGCAAAGTTGTTCATCATGAGGAGATCTATCAAATGATATTCATTTTGTGTGGATGTGTGCAACACCACGTGATTACAGAGCCATAAAACTCTTTAGCGCCAACTAGTGGCCGATTTCTATGAAAATTCTTACAGACCTCTAGTGCCACAAGTCGAATATGCCCCTCGAGTTTCGTTCCGATCAGCCTCCGTTAACCTCGTCTAATAGGTGCTCAAACTTCATTGGTTGATGGCGGCCATGTTTTTTGAGATATGCCAATATCCTTTTAGACATACATGGTAACTTGCACCAAGACACTGCATACCAAATTTCAAGTCAATTGGACAAATGGTCAGATGGTTTGAGCCAATTATATGTTTATTTAATGTTATAGCGCCACCATGTGACCAATCGATGCAGTATTTTTACAGTGACCGCAAACTGTCCTCATACACATGTCTATTGAGTTTGGTGAAGATATCTTATTTACTTCTTGAGTTATAGCCATTTTAGTAAAATTGCCTAATTTCAAAATGTTCATTTTGCACCCCCTATCGACCTTGAATCGAAAATACAACTTTTTTTCGATAATTATTGGTATTCAGACTCCAGAGAACATTTCTGCACTGGTTTGGTTCCGATCGGGCAAAAATCCAGGGACTAGTTCGCAAAAGTAGGTTTTAGATAAAATTCAAAATGGCGGACAAATTTGCATATAAAATTAAAAATCCGAGATATACGTTTTGTCCTTCAGGCATCCAGCTTTCCAGTGATATAAGACACTTGAGTCTACAACTTACATTCTAGGAGATATGAGCAGTTTCGCGCAATTGATTATTATAGCGCCACCTATGGGCCAATATGGCTCATAATTTGATAACCTCTCCTCGATTTTTGTACTACCAGCTGTCAAAGTTTCAAAGATCCAGCTCTTACGGTTTGGGCTGCACGATGCGTTTTACGGCGGAATAATAATAATAATAATAATAATAAAAATCAGTACAATTACAATAGGTTTTCAGCACTTCGTGCTTGAACACCTAATAATAATAAAAATCAATACAATTACAATAGGGTTTCAGCACTTCGTGCTTGAACCCCTAATAATAGAAAAGAATAATCCTAAGGAAAACAATAGGGCCTTCGCCCTTTCAGGGCTTGGGCCCTAATAATCCTTAGGAAAACAATAGGGCCTTCGCCCTTTCAGGGCTTGGGCCCTAATAATAATCCTAAGGAAAACAATAGGGCCTTCGCCCTTTCAGGGCTTGGGCCCTAATAATAATAGAAAAGAATAATCCTAAGGAAAACAATAGGGCCTTCGCCCTTTCAGGGCTTGGGCCCTAAAAACAATAGGGCCTTCGCCCTTTCAGGGCTTGGGCCCTAATAATCGTTAGGAAAACAATAGGGCCTTCGCCCTTTCAGGGCTTGGGCCCTAAATAATCGGAAGGAAAACAATAGGGCCTTCGCCCTTTCAGGGCTTGGGCCCTAATAATAATCCTAAGGAAAACAATAGGGCCTTCGCCCTTTCAGGGCTTGGGCCCTAATAATCGCAAGGAAAACAATAGGGCCTTAGCCCTTTCAGGGCTTGGGCCCTAATAATAATCGTTAGGAAAACAATAGGGCCTTTGCCCTTTCAGGGCTTGGGCCCTAATAATAATAATCCTAAGGAAAACAATAGGGCCTTCGCCCTTTCAGGGCTTGGGCCCTAATAATAATCCTAAGGAAAACAATAGGGCCTTCGCCCTTTTAGGGCTTGGGCCCTAATAAATAATCCCAAGGAAAACAATAGGGCCTTCGCCCTTTCAGGGCTTGGGCCATAATAATACTTTTTTAAATTAAATTAAAACTTAGGTGTAAATGTCCAGAGATTGTCTTCTTAGTTCTGAGCTTGGTCATTTTTGTTAATGTATTTCACTGCTTAGTGGTATTTGAGAAGCAGATTTTAGAATCAACATTACAGAAACAAAAAGAACAGATCCTAGTACTTTGCAATTGATTTGTTCTTCCTCACTTGAAAGCACCGACCACCACTGCTCTGTATGTGGTCACCATAGAAATGTTCTCTTGTCAATGCAGTTAAACTTGAAAGTTTCTCTTTTTCAGATTTAAGATGTCCTCCAATCCACTGGCCGAGGCAGAAGAGGATGTGTTTGGTGAGTGACCTCTCCTGTCTGCCTAACCCTTCCCCCCTCCATTAATGTCCAGATCTTCATTTCCACACTCCTAATACACTGAGCGCATTACAGGAGAGAGCAGCTACAGTCTGGCCTCTAAAAGCACCAGGGGCTACTTTTCTCTGTGAATTTTTAGATGCCATCTATCATCTCAATGGGAATTGAGGTATTAATGGTAGATTTAATGGGCATAATCAAGAGGCTGGCTTCATGGGATTTTAGTACAGGCTTTGAAGGTGCAGCCTTGCTTAGTCAGTGTCTACGTCACTGCAGGAATTAGTGCTGAGATCTGAAAACAATTTTGGAGAATGAAATAAGAGTAGAACCATAAGACAGGGTGGCTCCTAGAAATATTAAATATTTATGTGCATGCCCTTACTCCCCCAGACCCAATAAGCAGCCTAACCTCATAACATGCATTAGTGCTGGTCACTTTTTTTCAGCAGCGCTTGTTCTGAAAGAATTTTTTTAAATTAATATTTCCCATAGGGATTTGTTTAAGTATACACAGTGTACAGTATATACAGTATATGTATATACACTATATATATATATATATATATATATATATATAATATAATAGTAATATATACATATTATATAGGGATTTATTTAAGTATACACAGTGTATATACTGTATATGTATATACACTATAGGTATATATACAGTATATATTTATATATATGTAACCCCTCACACCCGAGTCCTACTCGCCCCGCTCTGAGCGGGCCTCGAACCCGGGTCTCCGGCATGAGAGTCAGGCACTCTAGCAAGGAGGCTAAAGACTGCAGCCTCTAGCGTCTATTGCTAGAGCGTCTATTAAGATCGGGGAGTGAGGTTTACTCGCACAGCAACTACTAGCTGGCCTCCGTTACATATATATATATATATATATATATATATATATATATATATATATATATATATATAATTTTTATTTATTTTTTGTATTCAGATGATATGGCAAGATCGACATGATGACAACATTTGTGTTGCTTCATGCAAGCACTTTTGGTGCAATTTTCTTGCTGAGACATTTTTATTTTCAACAAGAATTCAGCTGTTAAACATGATTATTTAAAAAAAATGCATGGCTTTAGTAAAAGTACATAACCTTGATTAACAACCTCACAACTCAGTAGGTCTGTAATTAAAGGTTTACGTTATCATTAAAAATCATTTTACCTTTGAAGTAAAATTACACTCTATAGAAGACCCCTCCTCACACGGTACAATGTTTCAGGTTGTACCAGGTCCTGCCGTATAGGCCGCTGTACGTGAGCTGTATCGTTTAGCTGTCAACCCTCCCGTTTTTTCCGGGTTTCTCACGTATTTTATCTCTGTTCCCGCTGTCTTCCCGTTTTAGTATTTTCCCGTAAAATATCCCTTATTTTTACACTCTGATTGTGTGAGACGTACAAGCTCGGACATATTCGGCTTGAAGTCGTTCATACTCGGATGCAGCGCCGCGCGTGCTTGTCGGAGACACACTGGCTGCGTGCGTCTCAGCTGCGTGGCGTGACCATTTTTATTTTACGTTTTTTATTTCGGCTTACATGTTAACAGATTAGAGCTTGCACACTGCCTGCGTGACACGCGCAAACGCGTGCATGCTAGAAATAGAACCAGAGAGATGCCTATTTTTCACGCGACACGCAAGCGTGTAAGCGTTTCCAGGCCCAAAAAAACAATGTTTATATGTCAAAAATTTCCATTATTTTTGCCTTTATATATTTTCATGTAATTTTTTTTAAACAATCGAGTCCTGGTGTCCACTACTGAGGTCATAGCATAACATAGGAATAAAATATCTTTTTTTTTTTCATTTGTTTCTTATGCTCTTAATAATGTAAAAAAAAAAAAATACTTATTTTGGCGATGGATTCCGGGAAATCTCCCTTATTTTCAATGTTCAATGTTGACAGCTGTTCGTTCCGACAAACGGGCCACTACATTTTCTTTTGCTCACTATGTTTAACGTTCATAAAAGGTATCCAAACAAAAAGTTCTCCACGCATTATCCTGCAGTTAATGAGAAAGTGTAATTTATTGGCGCACTACAGGGGTTGGACAATGAAACTGAAACACCTGGTTTTACAACACAATAATTTGTTAGAATGGTGAGGGCCTCATTTTGCATCCAAATACAGCACCAATTGACAGATAGAAGTCCTTCACAGTGACCAGAGGGATTATGAGCCGTTCCTCTTCCAGAACAGTGTCCAGGTCACTATATGATGCTGGTGGACTCGCTCCTCCAAAACACCTCATTTAATATTCAGATCTGGTGACTGTCAGACCATGGGAGATGTTCAACGTCACTTTCATCTTCATCAAACCCTTCTGTCACAAGTCTTGCTGTGTGTGTTGGTGCATGATCATGCTGATACACGGTTTGAGCATCAGGTGCTCATGATCCTCCAGAAGGGTTTGGTAGTCCTCGGCAGTGTCGTGTCCATCAAATACAATCAGGATTGTCATGATATTGGAGCTCAAACCATCACTGATCCACCCGTGCTTCACTCTGAAGATTGGCCGCCAGGCATATAGATGTGAAACCTCCAACATTGGCCAGTGTTTCAGTTTCATTGTCCAACCCCTGTATATTGACTGCGTATTGAGACGTATTGAGAGATAAAAAACTGTTGAGCTAGATTTTCAACCAATCAGCGTCGAAAATGTAAGTAGGTCAAAGCCAAAATCAAGCCAATAGGTGCGTTCGACATCGCCTGCAGCTGGATGCAACCGATCGGCGAGAATAGCCGCGTGCAGGCGGGGAGGAGCTGCAAACGGAGACGTGAAGTCGGACAATGGGCTTTATGCCCAGCTGCACTACTTCCTGAACTTCAGCCAGCTCCTTGTTTCCTGTCTGCCATTATTGGCCAAATTTATTAATTTAGGTGTACCTGACCTCAGTAGTCATGGCAACAATAATCAGACACGCCTGAATTAATCAATTTGGACAATAATGGCAGACAGGAAACAAGGAGCTGGCTGAAGTTCAGGAAGTAGTGCAGCTGGGCATAAAGCCAATTTCTGGTTCCCGTAGTGACCGCTCACGTGGTGTTTGCATGGTTATACCACAGCTGAAGTGAAATAAGTGCAACATTTGCCAAATAAACAGATATTTCAGATATTTCAGACACATTTTCATTCAATACTTTACTGCTTCATACAGCAACTGTTTGAACTAGAATAAAGTTCAAAATAAGCCTATAATCAATGACGTGGAATCAACGTTTTTTAATCAGTTTTATTTTGATAAACATGATAAACATGACACAATATAACATTGCAACTACATGAAAACAGTGTTTACTGTTATAAAATACTGATTTGTGAGTTTTACTGGAACTAAAGGTGTGAGAATAAACACGAAACGCACGTGATCGTTGTCATGCGGTGAATCCGGCGAATCGTGGAACAGCTGTGACATCATCAGAGCTTGTTCAGCCGCTCTTGAGAAGCTGCGCTGGCCGAGTCCCCCGGCTACTCTCGTATCGCTCTCGCGGTACTTTGATGGCATACATACATCACAGTCACGTGGAGTCAGCGCTGCATCAAGTCGGACAAAATTTCTAACCGGCATGCACTGTTTCAAGTCAACCGCCGATCGGTCTGTGCAGAGCTGCATGAAGTCGAACAAGCCTATCTACGCACATGTAAACATGGAGGAGGACGTAAGCAGCGCATCTTCATCTGATAGCGGCGATCCAGCTCGATTAGATTAACACCCGTAAAGTGTATTTTTCATGTCGGAAAAGATGGTGGGAAAGGTATAGTCCTTTACTGAAGTTCAATGGGAACAAATCAAGCAATGTGCGAAGGAATGGCTCAAAACGTCGGACACTACGGAGCTAGCTACGGTATTGATCCCATGTTGCAGGTAAGTTACTTTCATAGCTAACATATCAATATTTTTTCATTATTTTTGGATGATGCTAATTCACAAACGTCCCGATCAGAATCCTGATAAAAACATCTACGCGATGAGAGACGTTGTCCTCCGTTGCTTGATCTGTTATCTGGGTGAAAAAGAGGATGACCTCATCCAGTACAATGTAAGTGACTAGAATTAATCTATATATTTATGGGGTTTTGAGAAATGTACTGTATATGTGCATTGTTTTTATTTTACCACAGAATAGCAGAGGCTAGGTGGGCATTGTCACTCGATGCACAATCTCAGTGATTTTGTTTTCAGCAGCGATGAACCTTCTCATTAAAGTCCCCCTCCGATCATATTTTGATCTATTTTATAAACATTCCCAGTGGTCTTTAAAATATGATTATACCATTTTTAGCCAAAATCACAAAACCTGTGCCGTTTTATGGGACTTCACTTCAGCAGAGCGGCAGTAGCTCATTAGCAATTCGCCTCTGGGTTGTGGGCGAAGCCGTTGGCACGGAGACGACCCTCCGTGGCCCTCCTTATAATCCCAAATTATAAGCAACTCAAATGTTTTATTAATTTATTAGTTGTTGAGTCTTAAGTTCAGGCTATTGCTGTCTGATTCTGTTAGTTCACCTCACCCCCTGATCCGAGACATTCATTCCTTTGCAACTTCATATTTATCAGGTTTGTTCTCTTCCTCTTGTGTCTCGATACGTTAGCTGTCGACTCGTCAGTGTCTGACTCTGATCTGTCTGCTGGGCCGTGCCGTGTGTGATACAGAAGGACCGGGAAGAGTAATGATTAGTTCATATTTCGAGTCTCGAGTTCGGGTTTGGCCGCGTCCGAGTCTTTCGTTCTTCCTGTCAGTCCCATAGACTAGAGGCTATGCTGTCAGTACCGGAAAGAGAAATGATTAGTTCATCTCTCGAGTCTTCGGGTATGAGTCGTTCTTTTGTCACTTGACCGCTGGTATCTCGCATGAAATACATTAGTTTCGTATTATTGACTGCGTCTGAATGTATATTGTTTTATATTTGTAGGCATTAATTAAATAACAAGTTCCATATTGTCCCTGTCCATCTC